GATGACATTACTTGAAATTAATTGAATGATAATTATCAGAACGAATTTCTAAATATAGACGGTTAGAGGAAATCGAATGAGAGCGTACGGGTCACCCCGAGGTGAACGTATAATCGATTTTGACGACCTTAGGACCGAGAAATGGGATGCACTTAGAATGCGTATCATTTCATAACCCCCCGAGGGGTCCCTGATTTTTATTGCATGGCCAAACGGTGACCGACTATTAATTTCGTTCATCATGAAATTGGTTTTGACTAATGGAAATTAATGGGTTCTGGAAAAACCCTTCTTTAAAGAAACGAAGAATTAGTAGAGTTGCCCGAGCATCATACTAAATTCTCAAGGTTTAAGGATGTCGGTGAATTTTAGTTAATAGTGTTTTGAGGATGTCAATATTAACAGTTAAATTCAAAATGTTTAATCAGTAAAATATTTTCGTGATTCTCAAGTTTATTCATCATGTCGTTGAATCCGTTGTCTGTTATCCTAAAAGAAAATCAACTCACTGGTCCTAATTACATTGATTGGAAAAGGAACTTAGACATAGTGCTGACTGCTGAAAACTATAAGTATGTGCTAACTGAGGCTTGTCCTGATGTGCCGGCTAATAATGCCCCAGATGAGGAGAAACATGAGTATGCTCGGTGGAAGAAGGCTGATGATATGGCGAAGTGTTACATTCTGGCTTCTATGTAAAATGTCCTTCAACATCAGCATCAGTCAATGGCCACTGCTGCAGATATGCTTCTGAACCTCAAGGAACTGTTTGGGCATCAGTCGAGGGCTGCAAGACAAGAGGCTTTAAGTGCTCTGATGAACACGCGCATGGCAGAGGGTACACCCGTAAGGGATCATGCTCTCAAGGTCATGGCGCAACTCAATGAGCTAGAGGTTCTTGGAGGTTGTATTGACGGGGAAACCCAGGTTGATATCATGCTCCAATCTCTGCCGACAATTTATCAGTATAAATTATATTTTTAGTTCCGATATTATTTTTCGGAATTAATTATTTCCAGTTATTTCAGTCAAAATTACCGGAAATTATTTTCGACGTACCGTTTACGTTCGAAATAAATTTTGGTAATTAAGTATTATGCTTAATTAAATGATTAAGCCTTAATTTGTGATTAATGGTAATTAATCCTCATTACCATTCCAAAATGCCGTGCACTATATTTTGTCTAACATTGGAGAATTCCAATTCATGCTTAGTAGCCGTGCACTTTTATGTTAGTAGTTTATTAATTTTCCAAGTCATGCGTAATGCCGTGTGCTCCATGTGTACATGTTAGTGTTTTGTTCAAAGATTCCTCCCAACTTGTCCTTAATAGCCGTGCACCTTATTTGTAGTTTTGTGCAAGGATATGTCTTGTAGTAGTGTGCATGGGAACTATCACAAGTCAAGAGGAGAACTTGTCATTTAGTGTCCAAGTGCTTAAGATTAAGCATCTCCTTGTAAAAACCGAACATAGTAGTTATATGCATATACTCTCGGTTTTCCTCATGATTATTTAATCCTAGTGTTTGGAGTGTAATGCATGGCACTTTGGATTTTAGCATGTAGTGTCCTAGCATTAGATGGCATGTGAGACAAGTGTCATTAGCTTTAGTCTCACAACATTACCTCATTTATGCTCCATGCCATTTCGGCTTCTTCATAAGAGAGTGTTAGAAGAAATTTTTCCATCTTCTTTTCACGCCTAAGTTCATAGTGCCGAGAGAGAGAGAGTAAATTGTGTGAGTTTGGAGTGTGGTTCGCGAGATATTTCCGAGAGTACCGCGCGCACCGCAAGCCATCGCACGACGTCGCACACACGCGGAGGGTCACGGCCGAGTACGGGAGTTCGACAAGATTAGTCACTTGAGCCTAATAAGAGGTAACTCCCGACGGTTGTAGACCGAGACTATCATGTTTATTTGGTTCGATTTTTCCGTTAGGCGTTCATGCGTGTTATGGGTAGTATGAGCCGTAGCCGTAGCCGTGCCGACCATGTCATGTTAGAATCTATTTTCTCCGAACTCTTCTTGCATGTTTAGCCTTTAATTGCAATATCATGTTTAGATTAGCTATAATGTTCGGATAATTAGTCATGTTGGTGGTGCTTTGGTCGAAGAGGTGTGGTCGCACACTTAGTGCGCACCACGGACCGCTCTCGTGTTATTGCATGTTAAGTTCAACTCTCCGATCATTATGTGTTATCATGTTCAGTAAGCTTTGTTCAAGTTCAGTTAAGTTTATATTGCCGAGAGTTATGTGATTCGGTCGTTAAACGGCACAACGCCGTCGGCGGCGCACGACGCGCCCGCCACGGCCATAGTTCAGTTCTTTGCGTAAATCTTCATGTTTTCAGTATATTTATGTTCATATGTTCATGTCATGCTATTTGAGGTCAGTTTGTTCGGAAGTT